AGCACTAGTTTTCTATATAAGAAGGGCATGCCTATAGGCACGAGGAGCATGCCGCAACTCAGGGCATGCCCTCAAAGGCATGTCTGATTTTTTACCTGTGCCTCAAACCCTAATGAAGACCCTTCAAAATGTCATGATAAACCATCCATGAAATAGTTTGATTGCAATGGATCTATTAAAATTAATATTAATAGATCAAATAAAACAGCAAGGCTAACTTTACAACATCAATTTTTATATAAAAAGAAAAGAGATATGTCTGTATCTTAACATATTAAAGACTTTATCAAACAAAATATTAATCTTTTGCTGCATGAGATATATGCATAACTCGTGAGTGAGAGTATAAATCTATAGATTCGTCAACAGCACATTCATTCCTGGTGGTCTGAGCTTGGACAAAATAGATACAAGTGCCATGAAAATATAAATCTATAAATTCATCAACAGCACATTCATTCCTGGTGGTCTGAGCTTGGACAAAATAGATACAAGTGCCATGAAAATATATTCAAATCAGCAACAGAATGGCTTAAGGAAGAGCACTATAAAATTATTATAGAAGAAATGCATCCAGTCCATGCTCTGGAATTTATGACAGGAATATATGAATATCTACAAAATATAAATGTAAATATTAATGAGTGTGGTATTAATGCAACATGTAAGTAACCATTTTTTCTATCTTAAAGCCTTAAATTATTATTATTTTTTTCTTCTATTTTCATTTTTTTTTTCTTATTTTTTCATATTATTATTTTTTCTTTTTTTTAATAAACTTGATGTGTAAAACTTTAAATTAATATTAAATATAATAAAATAATATCTAGATACACAAATAAGTTCAAAATGGAACTATACAGTTTCCAGGCCGAAATAGATGACACTGGATTTCCTTTAGCTTACCTTTTTCTGGATAATAACAGACAACGTGGAGATGGAATACATACCACCATGATTCAAACATTTCTTACGAAATTGCATAAAAAAGAAATAAACCCATATTTTATTCTTACAGAAAAAGATTTTGCCCAAATAAATACTGCTTATTTTACCTGGCCAGGAATTAAAATATAGCTCTGTAAATGGCATATTAAAAGATCAATCATGACACAATTAGCAAACAACAAAGTACCAAAATCTGCTATCTATAATTCTTTGTCCCAATTTGGTATTCGATTTCCATTTAACAATATTATACAAGCGCCCAAGTTTTGTCCTAATGAAAATCATAAAGTGGTGTGGAGAATTATTAAATTACATTTTCATCAGCATCTGTTAATTCCCACATATAATGGCCAATTTCTTAATAGTCAAATGATCTATGAAAATGCTATTCAATTCAAACATTATTATGTTTTGATAAAATGATTTACGCGTGTCAATAAAGTGATTGGCATATTTTTGTGTGTATAATTAATTACCTTCCAAGGATCATAATACAATGATTCTTGGACAAGATTAAAAGGAGAAGGCATCGGAGTATATTTTGGTACAAACGGAGTAATTTTTCTTTCCGCGAGCACATCCAAATCCATCGAAGAAGATAATTTCACCTTTTTGGACGTTTGTTTCACCGTAGGCTCATTTACATGAACCTTATTATCCTTTACTTTTTTGAATACATTTTTATTATTGATACACCTTTTTTTGGACAGAAAATATTTAGAAACAGTCTCTATTTGCTGTGGTAGTTTTGATATGTTTTGAAAATAGGGACTAACTGTTTCTCTAAGTTTTTTATCCTGACATTTCTTTGCCATTAGAGGACTATAACGAAAAAATTCTTAAAACATTAAATTTATAAATTTTGAAATTGATAAAAAAAATCTTATCATACCAATCGAAAAGGATAATTAAAATCACAAATCACAGGGTTTGAAGTTCGCAATTCCTGAATTCCGTCTCAATCTTTCTCACATGATTTTATCCAATTAAAAGCGCCTTTAGTTTTTTTTCACGCATCTACTATATCGATATCTGTATATTAAATACAATTATATCTGTAACAAAATCAAAGCCAACTCAAGTAAATCAACACATTCAAATATATTAGGCTTTTAATTTACTTAAGTGGAGGTTCAAGCGATACATACGTATAATAAAAATTTATCTAATTTTTGTTATTGATATAATACAGTATATGAAATCTTAAGTGGAAGTTCAACCAACATCGAATTTAAAAAATTTATTGTAAGAAATTTTAAAATTTTTAAAAAATACTGTATACTGTACTAAAACTAGAATAGACAAAAAATTTAACATGCAACGTATTGGCATGTTACTATACCAAATTTTTGCAAAATACTATATAATTTTTTATTTATTATAGTCAATTTTTTTTTTTTTTTTTGCAATCATTCAATTACGGTCTATCATAGTGATAATAAACATATACATATATTGTATATATATATTATTATTCAACAAAGATATTACGTATAATTTCTACGTATACGTACGCACAAATAAGAGATGTTAATTAATAACTCAAAGAATCGGAGATCTATATCTTTAATCTGAGATTTTATTGCATTATTATGTGTTGTAAAATGCAGCCAATTGTAAATTGCCATTTAATTTTAATGTGATATTTTAAAGTCACGTGTAACTAGATTATCCACTACGTGCCATACAATAAATTATTAATCAATTGATTTTAGAGTAGGGTTACTTATATATATTAAAAGAGACCCATTTTTACTTTTACTGGGCTAAAATCACCAAATTATTACTAACGTTAATTAATGTGGCAGATCATAATGAAATCGGATTAAAATGAAACTGGGGACCTTTCTTGCTCATCTTTAAAGCTTAT